ATGCAAAATTATTAGTTAGTTGTATTTATTTAGAAGAAAAATGCACGTGTCCTCTATGGGTGAGAGTGTATATATATATATATAGCATGCATATGTTGGGAGAGGTGCTTTTACAGAACTGCATGTCTTTTCCTCGAACACACATGGAATGTAGTCTATCCAGTAGCCTACAGTAGTTCACGTGAACAGGCTTCTATAAGTAATACAGGGCCTCTTCCAACCCCTCAGTACTGTAGAACTGACAGCACCAGCCTGTCTAGGTCTCTTTCTGTGCTGGACGCCCTCCTGAGCTCCACGTTTCCACCAGAAGATATGAAGAAAGCAATATGTATGTGCTTCTTTTGTACCAATTGTGTGGATTGTGTGTGTCTAGAACTTTATTAATGCAGCATTTTTGTCTTTTGGATGTAACAAAAAAAGGGTTTGATCAATGGGTTTGTGTATGAATTACTTTTTTGACCTTTGTTCTTAATGCATTTAATTTTTTTTAGATGGCAAGGACTGCTAAATATGGTGATCCCTTGTGAGGGACCCCTCTCCTAAAATATAAGAGCGCCTATATATTCTCATGTATACTGTATGCAGAACCATTTATACTGTTTGAGAAATAGTACGCTTAAAGGGATTGATACCCAGAAATGAAAAGGATGTCATTATTTACTCAGCCTCATGTTGTTCCAAATCTGTATGAGTTTCTTTCTTCTGCTGAAAACAAAAGAGGATATTTGCTATAGTTGCAGGTAGTCATTGACTTAAGAAAAATACTGTCAATGGCTACCAGCAACTGTTCGGTTACCAACATTCTTCAAAATGTCTTCAAAATGTTCATTTTGGGCTAACTGTCTATCCCTCTAATCATGATATTATAAAGACAACATGCTGTTTGCCAAATTAAATAATTGGCTTATTGTCTTTGTACTTATTGCAAAAGAAATGAAGTTATGTGAAAAAGAATTAGTTTGTCTTAAAGTCAGCATCATAACTTTGACATTATGGTAGTGACTTTTGAACGGACTTTGTTTGCTTCAAATCCAGAAAATGCATCCAAAAAGTTTTTCATTTAAAGTTTGTCCCCTAAAGCAGATTTCAAATTCTGTTACACGTGTTTCATATCTTCTGCTTCTTGTTTTGAACCCTGTGACTTATGGAAAAACTCCCTTTTTTTCCCTTTTCACTGTTCCTGTACATTCAAGAAGATTTAGCCTGCAAGAGCTGCATAGTCAGCATTTTCCAGGACAAACTTTTTTTCCTTTTTAACCTAATTCTAAAATATAGCTGCAGTGCAAAGCATGTGATATTGTTTACGTTGTTGTCTGTTGAGTGTGCATTCCTGTGGCTTTCAACCATATGTGTGATTCATGCGGGTCATATTTTCTTCCACCCATGGTTTTGAGTTATCATTTTTACTGTCTAATATCCTCACTGCTGCATTAATAGGAACTAGTGCGATTCCTTTCATCAGTTCTATTTTATTGGCAAAGTACATGTTTAACTTTTTCTGTCTCCTCCATGTTGCCACGATATTAAGGTGTTCTGGGTGCTTGCCAGAATATTGCTGTGCAGTTTCTAAGGTGTTCTGAGTTGTTGCTAGGTGTTTGCTTACTAGTCTCTTTAAAAATGATTGGAATTTTAAAGATTAAAGACCTCACTGTAAAAAATAAGTGTAATTTTAATTGTAAAATTTTGTAAAAACGCTACGGAAAAAAACTGTTAATAGGTTAACAGTTAGTTCCCGTACTATATACAGGGAAAAACTGTAAAATATCTAACCAGACATTTCATGTAATTTTACAGTAAAATGCTGTTAATTTTACAGTTTTTAGAAGTAAAAATAACAAATCAATGTATAATTTACAGTCAAAAACTGTAAACTGATATTCCCAGAATTCCCTGCATGACACTCCACATTTGAAAGTATTTTGTTTAAATAATCATGTTTTTTTAATAGTTTTTGTTATTAGTTATGTATATTTGGGCTTTATGTTACATCTTCTGTTGTTTAATGGAAGTTTAATGCATTATTTAAGTATCATGTGTGTTACCATGATGGTGTTTTGTGTTTGCATGAATGACTCTGTGCACCTTCTATATATTAGTATATATTTCTGCTTGTGGCGAAGCTACTTGTGATGAGCTTTGATTCTTCATGTGGCTTTCTCTTTTACCACCTGCATTATTATGGTGGTTGTCAATATGTTAAAGGTACAAAACAGATTTTAATAGCAGTGTGCATTGTTGAATTTACTGGTTTACATTCAAATTTTCTTGTTTGTAAATTACAGTTTTATACTGTAAAATTTACAGTTTTTGGCCGTAAATTTGTTTACAGTTTTTCTGTATTTTTTACAAAATTATTCTGGCAACCACAGCTGCCAAAATGATTTTGTAAAAACTACAGAATTTTTTTTACAGTGTAGACTACTTTGCGCTTTGTATTTGTCAAAATGTCCGTCTTGGTGAGTTTTCACTAAACACAGTCAGTTATGTCTTTAGTGAAAATAAACAGTTTGAAAAGTAATTGAATGCTAGTCAGTGCATTCAGCATCCAACTGTATAAACCTGCTGCTGTCTGTCATCCTCTGTTAATCACACAACAAAAGAAAATGAGAAAATGATTCACTGCTCTTTTCACTGAATATTGTTCATAACATGTTATGAATCAATGTATGTTTAATTTATATGGTGAGGTCTATGCAGTGCTTTATTTTTTACATTTGATTACTTAAATCAATTTATGTATAGTAGGCTATTATAAGATAAAGTGTTTAATTGTTAAAATAGTTTTTTTATGAACGCACAGGCAAAGTTTTGCTTAGGGCCGCCAGAAGTCTAGGATCGGCGCTATGACCAGGCTGGATGACCAACTAAATCCAGCCAACCAGTTTAGGCTGGTTTTAGCTGTTTTTTTTTCAGCAGTTACAAGTTTGGCAACGCAATGGGGAGTTAACAGTGCAAAAGCAGTGGAGCAGGCTTTCATAACCACAGGTAAAATGTGGTGCTTAGGGATGTAATGATGCACCGCGAGCCGGTTGAACATTGATACAAATATGTGTCGATTCAAATCGGTTGAGATGTTAAACGAATCACGATACAGTTGTGGGTATAAGTTTATATGAAAGTATCTCTGAGGGGAACTGAGTGTCTTTAGAAAAATTTAGATTATATTTTCTTTTCATGTCTCTGTGTAATGCATATTGAGAGCGCAGCGCTGCTTTGTTTACATCGGTAACCAAGGAAATGCAGTATCTGCTGTTCCATAAGCACCTCCTGCTGTCAGAGAGTGGATCTGCATCTCATTCAGCCCGTCTGATGTTTTTGTCTCGTTCAAATGTTTTATGTAGCATAATTTCATGAATTTAACGTCAGACCAATCTGTTTTTGTTTCAAATTTCAAAATTATACAATCTAATTTAGATTAAAAACTGCTCATGCAACATGTATGCAGAATCTTTGTTTGGATCATGATTAAAATCCATTGGTTGCCTCTAACAGAATGGAAAGAGCACAGGCAAAGCCTTAATTTGTTTATATGAAGAGATGTATTTTATTTGTGTTGTTTATTTATTTGATTTGGGGTTTGTTTTAAAATTTATAAAATAAAAGGACAAATCTCATTTTGTTAAAAAAACAAATAGTGAGAAAATGTAATTGTGAAATCAGTATCATGAATCGTATCGAATCATGAGTTGAGTGAATCGTTACATCCCTAGTGGTTGCTAAATTAAACATAGCATTACCCGGTGTTAGAAGCAGGGTTAGGCTTTCAAGAATACATAAACAGGAGATTGATCCAGACCAAATGATTGCCATATTGGGGGTTTATTTGTGAACCATCCTTTAATAGGTATGAATGTCAGTCTATCTCTTTATCTATGGTTCTTGCAAAGAGATTGATTCTTCAGAAGTGTAAGCTGGACTCGGCTCCAACATTTGATGTGCGCCTTGGTGAGTTGGTGAACATTATACAGATAGTGAACCTATATTAGACCACCTGGTAAAATGGTCACTTCATACTGGTCTTGTACTTCTAATATTTTTGTAATTTTCATTTTAATTAATTTATTTTTGAGCTATTTTTCTGTATATATTCAAAATGTAATCACTGTGATCTTTTGATCTGACTGACCCTTTAATATAGCACATATTTACCTCTGACAATTCATGCATTATGATTATTTTTTTTCTTCCTATTTTTGTGTATTCGACTGTATGGTACCGCTTTTGTTATTTTAGAACCGTGTTTGTTGACCAAGTGTAAACTATATAACAAAACTAAATAAAGTAAAAAAAGCAGGATTTAGAATGACAATAACCCAGGGTTAAGCACCGAGTGAAAAGCAGATTATAGGTGCTTGTGGACACAAAGTACAGGAACACAATGATTGACAATGACTGACATCTACAGCCACACAGTAGGTGCATAAGGGACATAGGATGTGACTTTCTGCATTCCACTGTACTGCTTTCCATTGCTATGTTCCATGTCTTTTGCAGTGTTTAAATAAGTTCCATATTTTGTTCCCCTCATCACTCTCGCTGTAGGCTAAATAATGATCTGAGCAGTCTGTAAAAGTGATTTGATTTTTGTGTCAGATGCATGTAAAATATTACTTAAGCATACAAAGAGAACGGGCAAATGAAACCATGAGATCATGCTATACATACACAGTCTGCGGGTGAAGTTAAAAGATGTTAAAATAAAAAAAAAAAGTGCTCTTTACTTAATTACGCCTTTTGAAGATTGAAAATCTCTAATCTAGCATATACTAACAGACGTATTAAAGTAAGGCTGAAGTATGTACCTTCACTTCAGAACTGGAAATGCCACCTATATTTAAAAAATGCAGCAAGCTCATTCTGAATATTCTGCTTACTGAAGTCACTGCAGTATGTTTTATTTATGAAATGCCTTTCCCAAGCTGAAGGTCACTGGTTGATTAACAACTGATTAAATTATGAAACTGGCTTATGTTTTTAATCAGTCATGTAAATGCTTTTCTTTATACCTCTGTGGTAACTCTCATCATGTCACTCTCTCTGGTGTAGTTGAGTTTCCCCAGCGCTGCACATTTGATCTCATACTCAGTTTCTTCTCTCAGATCAGTCAGAGTAACTGTGTCTTGATCCTTCAGCACAGCTTCAGATCTCCAGACTGTGTCTTGCTTCACTTTATACAGTAATCTGAGCTCCACTGCAGCAGGACATGATGGAGGAACCACCTTCAGAACCACACTCTGACCTTTGAGCTCTTCAGTAACCGGACAGACTGGTTTGGACGGAGGAGTGAAGCACACAGCTTCTTCACATTCATGTTCATACAGCAGAATGCAGGAACCAGGATTATACACCATTTCCTTTGAGGACACAATAAATCTGGCTGGTTTACGGTCTTTTGAATCAATTAGGTTCTTAAATATCTCCAAGTTTCTCCTCATGGTCTTTTGGATCTCAGCAGTGAGCCAAGACTTTTGCTTTGAATCAGGGCCCTTCTCATCAGTTTCTCCTTGTGTTGAAGGACTCAGATAAGAAGTCTGCTGAAGAAGCAGCACATCTGAGCAGTCCAGTGATGTGAATGTGTAACTCACCAGATTCCCGACCTCCAGATCCATCAAGATGGCGTCTATGTTGACTTCCACCTGTGCACCAAAATCCTTCAGCTGTCTGAGGAGTATTTTAATGATCTCAGACTCTCTTTCTCTCTCTTTCAGCCATTCTGCAAGATCTCTTCCTCTGAATGGAGATTCATCATGTTCTTGTAGAAGATCAGTCAGGTCAGTTTCCTTCATCGCGTCTCCACGGATGTTTGGCAGCAGAGAGCCGAGTTTCTTCACCAGTCTCAACTTGTAGCTGTAGCAGTTTTGCTTCATTTGCAGTATTTTATCATGAAATGCAGCAACAGTCAGAGCGGGAGAGTCTTCTAGAAGATCACTGCATTTCATCTCAGCTGTATTTAAACTCTCAATCACTGATTCAGTGTCTATGATCAGATCCATGCTGATGTCTTTATGAAGTTTTGAAGCTCTTGAGTGAAGTTTGTCCAGAGGATAAAGCCAAACTCTCAGAGGAACCGCCAACTCTTGGTTTTCTTTCAGCAGTTTTGGAAGATCAGCAAAAACCTTCAATGCGTCTTCAAAAGAGGTCGGGTTAGACGGCAGCTGGAAGTCGCCATAAAATGTGCATGTGAAGTTTTTGACTGCAGTTTTCTGATTCTCATTCACACTAATTTCAGCATTTGCACCTACAGAAGCAATGCCTTGTAGTTTCTCAAGAGCCACTTTTACTTCTCCTTTTACTGTTTTTTTGTCCTCATCTGAGGAAACTTCTCTGTCAAATACAAAACATGCATCTGCTCCATAAAGTATTGCTGTCACTACATGTGTGCCTATATCATTGTCATCAGCAGCAATACTTCCAGAAGACAAATGGTTTGTGATCAGTTCTTCAAATCGGCTTGTTGAATGATAATGTAGCGTCAGTCTCTGCTGTTTGAAAGACGTCTTGGTGTCTTTGAGATACTTTGCTGCTCCACTAACATGGATGAGATCACCTAAAAAACTCAGTTTCAATTCACCGCCAATATTTAGTAATCTGGATTTGTCCTTAATGGAGTCTGAAGCTGTGACATTGAAATCAGTATTAATTTGAGGACGAGAGCAAATATTCTGCTGCAGCTGCTCTTTATTCCAAAGTCTGACCCCTGTAACAGGACAAATATGAATTTATTACAGTCACATCTCAAATCTGACACAAATTCTGATGTTTAGGCCGATGAAAGTGAAAAACGTCATGTTTGTTTGCTTTTGTTTATGATTCATTTGTCTAGAATGTTATTTATAAAGGCCAGGAAAACTACAGGCATGTAACTAAAAACCACCTGGTATTAAAGCATCTTTTCTGCAGTCATACAGCATGCCCAGCTGGAAGGGTCTCCCAAGAGCTGCTGCTTCAATCACATTTAGTCCCACTGAATCCATGCTAAAGACAACCATCAGAAGAGAGAAAAATATTTATATGATTTTATAGAAATGTACTGTATATAAATCTTCTAAAAACATGGTAATATTGTAATATGCATGAATCTGCAAACAAGTTTTAAACTCAGCTAACAGAAAAACGAACCAAATTAATTTTTGGTTCCCAGAAAATTCTCAGAATGTCCTTTTCACATTACTCTTAACTCTGGTTTATAATTCAGAAATCGTTTCATATTCCTTCGGTGTAGATTATTTTTAGGCTGTAAAAAATAAAACCTACAGGATCCACAGCAGCCTTCTTCGTGTATTTTTATTCTGTGTCCACTTCAGTAACACTTTACAGTAAGGTTTACATTAGTTAACTACTGTCACAAGTTCAGCCTCTGTGGCTCCCTCCGATCACCACCAGAGGGAACCATCACCGGAGTACTAACCGATCCTTTCGGACTTCAATTCCCACAATGCCCCATGCCTGAGACTAATCACCTGCACAGGTGTTTCCCATTGCCCGGCCTATTTAAAGGGGTCATATGTAGCGAATCAGCTCATGGGGAAATATGAATAATTAAT